AGAGGGGCTGCTATTACCCGAAAACTAGTAGTGGTGACTAAGCTAGAAGAGACCGAAAGAAGGATGTTACTTTAGAGAAGGAAAACTCTCTAGAGAAAATTGAAAACCATCTTGAGAAGTTTTATAATAAATTTAATGAGACTTTTAGACATTCTAAACTTATGATGAATGGTTGTTAGATATTTTAGAGGATATCTATTTCTTCAATAAAGTCACGAATATAGACATCGACCTCTCTAGGTTTCTTCAATGGTGATTTTATCCCTAATTTTAAGGGGCGAGTGTTTCGTAAGGCTATTGTTGCTAAAAAGGACAATATATTCATGATGGTCATTTTCTAACGGCTTTTTCTTAGCTAGGTACGAGATGATGCTTGAGAAGTTAGGTTCACTCTCTACTTCTACTCGGGGTATTGCGTTTGAAGAGGAAGTTGTTTCTATTATTCCTCATTCTCTTACTTTTTAGGAACAAATCTTTATAGTTAATGTCAATCTCGTTCTTTTTTATGTCCTTTCTTCTCAATAAGTTTCGAAGGTGTTGAGGGCTTTGGAGGAAATGTTGGTGACTTGGTCGACATAGATTAGGTCTTATAAAATATATGATCATTGGCTCGAGTTTTGTAAAGTCGGCTATAGTCCTTATTTTTTATTAATAAAAACTTGTTTGTTTCTTTTTTAAAGGTCTTTTTTTTAATGAGATTCAACATTTCTTTGCCTCCTTCAAGAATTATTTGATCTATAGAATTTTGAAATTATTTTGAGTTATGCTTTTATAAATTTTCTCTTTTAGATAAGATATACTTTTGAAGAAGGCTTTCTTACATGTGAAAATGATACTCGGTGTTTTTAGATCCATGAAAAGAATACCTTATATCTAGGTAAGGTAAAAATTATAATCAAATAAGAGTCTTGGATTCTCACGAGTAGTCGGTTATATTATCGATAGAGTATCAATTGTTTGTTTATCTAATTTAATCGGATTGTTTATAAACTTGAACATAGTGGACACCTTGATCATTTAGGAACCCTATTTTATTTTTTGAGTGATGGTTAAAAAATTTCTTAAGGGGAATATAAAGTTTTTGACCTTTTCTAGAGATTTACTATGTTTTTAAACATGGAAAAATATGCTTTTAGACTTAGACGAGGTATATACCATGAATTTTAAAGTCTTGAATTTTTTGAGATTGTTGGCTATACTTCGAAGGGATAAAGTTCACCCTTTATTTTATGATTTTATATCCGGGTAGGATAATAATCTTAGTTTAAAGGAATGGGTAGAGTTTTCGATTCCTAGGAAGATACTCGATGTCTTTATACTTAGACAAGGTAAGGCTTTATATCTTGACAAAGTGATAACTACGATCTTTTACAACCTTAGAAATTTATTTATTGCCAGTTGTATTTTTTAAAATAATTTCTCTCTTTTTTATGTTTATTTTTAAATAGTTAGAGTGCCTTTATACCTATGTAATCTGTTCTTTTATACCTAGGCAATGTAAAACTCCAACTATCTTTATCTAAGATATTTATGTTCAAATGTAATGATTGTCTTTTTTTTTTTTTATCTAAAAACACTTTTATTGATTATATATGTATATATTTTTGTATAAAAAAAGGCTTTTGATTAAGATGCATAGGTTTGTCTAGAGAGTTTGGATCGGTAAATGGTTTTTTTTTCATGTATTTGAATCCTATCATCTCTTATTTGGTTCTCTTTTTGTCCTAAGTAGTATATGCTCCTAACTTTATTCATATTAGTGGTAAAATATCTTTGAGAGGTGACTCGACTTCTTCTAATTGTAGTTGTTTTCTTAGGTATGGGAAATTTTAGAGGTATACGAGTAAGTGTTGACAATAACGTTGATTTCATGATAAGAGGTTTTTCAAATATGGCATTGCACATCAAATTCAACACCATGACCACTAAGACTCAAATTACATCATCTATTAAGACTTTTCCTTCTTTTACCCTTTTCAAAAGGAGTTTTAATTAGTTGGATCTTTGAGAGGTACATTCTCATTAATTTAAAAAAATTCCTTTAACAAACAATGATGGTGCCACATGCATCTATCAAAATACGATGAACTTTGTAATTGAAAGCATCATTAAAATTACCATGATATCATTAGAAGGGAAAGTTATACCCTCTATATCTATAAAGGTGAAGATAATGGGCTCGTACTAGGGTGTAGGGTCCCGTATGATGGTGGGGACCGAAAGAGCTCTCTTCTTTCTCTTCATGGGTCCTCTTTTGATAAGCAATCTGCCTAAATTCACATTGATTTATGATCAATCTTTCTTGTTAGGGTTTTTCCTAGCATTGGCCACCGTTAGGTTTAAGTCTCTTTGTCTTGATAAATTGTTTGATGTACTCTTTGGCTATTAACCTTTCTATTTCTTTTTTTTAAAAAAGAAATAATAGTTTCCAATATCATGGCCAACATCGTAATGATAAAGCCAATATTTTTTTTATTGCGAGAGGTGTGGAGGACCTTCATTAGAGTTAGATGACTGGCATATTCTTTCTCTTCTATAAAGACAAATACCTTTGAGAGACATTCATAGGAGTTGTTTAAAGTTCTAGAAAGATCGGACAATTGTTTCAACTCCTTTGGGATTTTTTTCTAGACTAGAGTAGGTCTGGTAGGGATCTTTCTTTTTTGGCTTTCTTTATTTATTTTTAAAAGCATGGATGTGCTTCTTAAATGACTATCATTTTCTATACTTAGATATAAATTTATACCACTTTATTTACCTGGTAGAAATTTTATTGGAGAGAGTGTAGATTTTCTACTATAAGTTGGTGTCATTGACCAATGATATGAGGGTTTTGGTTATCACGGGTTCTAAAAAGTCATCAACCCTTATCATTTTTTTTATAGAAGTTAAAGGGATAAGATGGGTTATTTTTTGCCTTTCTTTTGAAGATAATGAATAAGTCATCAAAGCTTTTTTCAGTAGGAATATTGGTAGAAAAGTGCATCGTTTCCTCAAAGCATAGGTCTTTGAAACTAAGGATTGATTTAGGGTTTAAATTCTTATACCTTTTACTCACCACTCCTAAAAAATGGTAAGAAACGCTTTGTATATGTTGTTCGAGCTCCGTATGACTAGTTCAAGATTTTCTCAAATATTTTGGATGTGTTCTCATAGATCTATCGTGCTATTATATACATCTAGATTTATCTTTTTAGTAGAGAAGCTGCTCGAAGGTCCGACATCTAAGATGTAAAGAGTGGAGAGGTTTGGAGCTTATTGTTGTAATGATCCGATTCTATATGAGAGGCAACCATATTTCTTTTTTTTGCCTAATGACGCTTAGGTTTGGAACTTACCGAGGAGGTTTGAAAGGAAAAGAAACTACTTTTGTGTTGTCTTCTATGTTGATTTCGATAATGGTATCCTTGCTTCTAATATTATGTCCAAACTCAATTTTATCATCTCTCTCCTCTCTCTACAAAAGCCTTGGCTAGCGATCTTTTGTCATAGAGATTAAAGAAATTTTTTGAGGCTTTAGTGGATGAGGAAGTTTATTTCTCTCAAGCTCCTCTACTATCTCCGGTTGTTTTCTCTTCGATCGAGTGTTGGGGTGGTCTATTTTTGTGAGAGGGAATTTGAGTGTGTGCGAATTTATAATAGGGTGAAAGTCTTTGGTAACGACATACGTGGAGGCGAATGTTGCATTTGAGGTATTGGCAAAGGAGTGGTCAAAGACTATATTTTCCGTTACATCAATGTGTATGCATTTGTTAATATTTTGATTCATCGTTATCGTTAGAGGACATTGAATGCGGAATGATTAGACTGGCAAAATGAAATGGTGTAAAACTTATTGGAGTTTCTTGATTGTTAGTTATCAAGAAGCTTAGGGATAGAGAAATAAGAGTCAAAGATTATCTTTTTGCTTAGTTCTCTGCAGACAACACCATTGATGAGGTCGTGATCCTCAAATTAAGATTGATCGTCAAATGGCTTCCAATCCATGTCGATTGTTATATGGTTTCCAATCTAGATAGATCGTATAGTTGATATCACGTGTCATACGTTGAATCAATAATTAAGTTAGCTTATGGAGACAGGTGCGTTGCTCGAATAGGCTTTAAGTAGTTTTGCTCTTAAATAGAGAATATATGTCATATTATATTTGTTCTAAGTTTAGAAAGAAGAACCTATAACATTTGGTGTGTTAATCTTTATCTAAATGGGGTAAGATTAACTTGTATAGAGCAAAGGGCAAATTGGGCTCTTTCCTTGTGTTCAACGACTCTTGACTTTCACTTAAAGGTTTAGGGTCTCTTTAACCGAATGTTGTTGTTTAACGATGCATGTACCATTATATTTGACGATAACATGACATGGACATTCTAGAGAATTACATTTTCATTAAATGTATGTCTTTTTATCTTACAAGTATGGAGAAGGAGATCGTCTTTATTTGGATCGTTTGTCCATATTAATTGTCTGAATTTTTTCTAATTGTGATACCTCTAATGACTACTGGAGGTTATTCCGTTCATAACGAAGTTTTGTCCGAGTGATCTTTTTTCAGAATAGAGAGACATATATTATGATCATGATCATCTATATATATAAACTATATTGTATGATCAGAATGACTTGTAAGTACCCAAGTTACGAAATTTGGCTAAGGTAATTGCACCCCCTCCTCTTCCTCCTCTTGTGCTCTAAATTCCATCATTAATGCTTAAAAAATTGAATATATGAATCATTAATCGACACACGTGGCACATTCTATCACCGATCATGCATTTACATCGTCATTAATTTATCGCTCCACCGAACTTCTATATACAGCAGACGCTTTACAAAAATGACAAACTTAATTAGACAAGTCAGTTCTCTCGATCCCTTTCTCTAAAAGGAACAATCAAATAAGTTTCTTTTCCCCACTCTTAATAGTGCGAACAAGTATGCAAAATAGTTTTTGTAGAAATTAGTGAGTACATTAGGAAAGCCAGAAAGGTGTGTGCATAGATATGGGAAGAGCACCATGCTGTGAGAAAGTAGGGCTAAAGAAAGGGAGATGGACAGCTGAAGAGGATGAAGTTTTAACCAGATACATTCTAGCCAATGGTGAAGGCTCATGGAGATCACTACCTAAAAATGCAGGTAAATAAAGTCATGCCTTCTGCATGAATTATTTCAAATGTTTTTTTTTTTTTAATAGAGTATTAGTTTGATTTTTGAAGGGTTATTAAGGTGCGGTAAGAGTTGTAGACTAAGATGGATTAACTACTTAAGAGCTGACTTGAAGAGAGGGAACATAACCAAAGAAGAGGAAGAGACCATTGTTAAGTTGCACACTGCTTTGGGTAATAGGTAAATTAAATCTTCATCTCCAAGCATGCAGTTGCAACTTGCAGGCTGATTTTGTCTTAATGTTTGCATCTGGGCATATCCACATTACCGATCTTTTTTTTCCCCTAAATTAAGTTTAAATTTTTGGTTAAGCGAGTTTATTTATTTATTTATCCGTGTTCAACTTCTTTCTCAAGGAAAAGCAACTCGCCAATTGCTCGAAATCTTTTGTGTATTTTTTAATCATCTTTCACAATTTGATCTGCAATATTGTTATTATTTTTCTCTCTATATAAAAAGGTTTTAAAAATATGTTCTTCTTTTCCCTTTATCATGCACTTGCTTTTAGGCTCAAATGACATATTCAGCTTAGTGGTTAACCTAATTAGGTTCTAGTGTTTTTTTTTTCCTCAATGATATCAGTTTATAGGTTAATTAAGATGAAGTCTATTTCCATATGATTTTAAAAATACATTCTCTGTATCAACTTTAGGTATTTAAAAAAATTTAATCACTTTTCCTAAATGTTGCTCTCAAAATTCGAAATCAAAAAGTCAAATAAAGGTTTAATGATTGACTTCTAGTTAAAGCAAGCAAATAATGTAAGAATTTTGAACGTAAGAAATGTGCAATTATTGTTTGCCACATGTTAAGAGTCAGAATAAGAATAACTATTATTAGGGGAAGAACTCCAACAAGACTAGGCTCTGTTTATATTGGTCTCTTGTTTAATTAACGATATATTCTGATACAATCCAGAAAAGTTGCTTCATCTTTTTTTTTCCCGTCAATTTAATAGTAGAGTACTTTTGATTTTTCTTTTTCAGAATACTCTTCAAAAAACCATCTTTAAGATAAATAACTAGCATTGTGCTTGTGCGAAAAGAAAAAAAAAAGAAGAAGAAGAAGAAGAAGAAGAAGAAGAATTAAGAAAAAAATCCGAATACATGACCAAATGGAGCATTGGTCAATTATATCGTTTTGGAATTGAAACTTTTTTCTCTTTAAATCAATGACTGACAAGTGCCACTAACTTGTCGTACTGTGACACAAATGTCGTCGTAAATTAACATTCGATCCAATCAATTTCTGGTTTGAGTTTTCAGAAATTCCGCTACATTTAATAACCAAATTAATTACCCGGTGCACTTCTAGCGAGGCAGAGAGAGAAAGTAGCTTGATTTTGCAGGGAAAATAATGAATTGTCCATCCACTGCAGTTCATTTATTATAGGCGCAGTAGTGGAGCCATCTTTTGGTGCAATTTTTGCTTCGACCATGTTTGGTCTGAACATGAACTTGGATTGGATCACATTTTGCACATTTTGTAGCTTACTGGTAGGTCAAGTAATTGTCCACTAGCTCCCAAATCATTACGGTAACAACAGAGTTGGTGTCTTAATGAGGGCAACCAACGTTCAACCTTCAAACTATTCACCCTTCAATTTTGAAAATGGAACAAACAACCTAAAAGTCAGATGTTGAAAAACCCAAATACTATTGTACTGAAGAGTTCATCTATTCACTATATTTTTTAGTATCTTGACTTAAATTGTCATTTTGTGCCTAAATGAGATAACACTGCAGGTTAATTTTGATTTTGTTCTAGGTGGTCTTTGATTGCTGCTCAATTACCAGGAAGAACAGACAATGAGGTAAAGAACTACTGGAATTCTCACTTAAGCCGAAACATTTACAGCTTCAAACAGTATAAAAATGATGATTCCCTACCAATCACCATGAATATCACCAAGGTAGCTGGGCCGTACAAAGGGAGAGGTGGTAGAAAAAGCCGATCATCCATGAAAAAGCACAAGGCCACATTAATGTCATTAGGTAAGCCTAAGAGTCCTAAAGCCATAGCTCATGAGGTACTTGAACCAATAAGCAAAGAAACAGCAGCAATCTCACTCGAAGGTACCGATAGCGCATTAAAGAGTCTGGCCACTGAAGGCCCACATGAGAAGGAACTAGAAAATGGAAGGAAAATTGATGTGCAAGAATCTAGCATAGACTCTGCTCAAAGAATTAATGCAGCTGAAATATCTCATTCCCATAGTAATGAAGAGAAAGAGACTGAAGATTTTGGACCATATGAATGGCTAGACAGTGAAATAAAGCGCCTGTGTCAAAGTCAACTTGTAGAACCAAGTGGAAGTAATACAGTGGTGACATTTGAGAGACACGATGAGGTACCAGATACAAGTGAGGAAAAAGTGCATCGTAATGGGGTCATGAGGCAACAAAGAGTGCCCATCCATTACCAAGAAAGACGAAGCAGCAGCAATGGTTGTAGCTCAAACGAAGAGAGTAATGGGGAATGGTACAATCGTTTTTCACCTGCGAATTCAAGGTTTGATGAGGAATGGCTTGATTGGAACTGGACAGCAGGTGGCGATCTCGGTCCGTGGGGATTGTTGTTAGATGAAGATGACAACGTGTTTTCTAGCGTTTCTGGTAGTGAGAATCGAGAAGGAGAGCAAGGATGTGATTAACTTAGGAAGAATGGCTGCCATTTTCCATTTCGTAACGTGTAAATTTATGAAAGAGTTTGTAGTACAATGATAATAATATTATGTGACAAAAGATCATAGGTTTAAATCTTATAAATTAGTTCTATTACGTGTAAATTTAAGATTTATTTTATGGCCTCCTGAGGATGTGTCATTTTTTGTCAAGTTTTTCTTTTTTGAGAATTGAAATTGAAGCGTTGGTAATGTTCCACCTTAATATTATAATATATATTTTTTTAAGTGTGGTGGTGATTTGAACTTTAGATAAAAATAACATGACTTAAAAAATTCAACAATATCACCTTAACTAAATTCAACAATATTCATCATCAAAGTATCCTATTGCAAAAAAACACTAGAAACAAAAGTTATTAAGATTTAGGATTTAAGTTGAATTACAAAAATCATTATGAATTTTTAAAATTTTATATAATAATAAAAAATATATATATATAAATAGAAAAAATCAAAAAGTTGAATTACCAAATATATAATAATCTCATTAGTAAATTACCATCCACTCCATCTTATGCACAAAACCTACAAAGCCCATTTAGTACCTGGCCCACGCCAGCTAAAAAATAGTTTTTCACTAATTTTCGTTTTAGTCTATAATTCTAAGAAATTTGGTCCTCAAACATAATATGTATTTACAAATAAGTCCTAATCTAGAAGTTTGTTGTCCTCCTACGTTTTCCAAAAACATTTTAGTCCTTGTATAAAAAACTTAATACAGTTATTCCTTATATTGTTTATTTTACTTGGTGGGTATATAACCGATATCGGTGGGATATACGCAACAAGTATTTATTGGATCAGATCAATAAATCCATGCTTTCTACCAAAAACATCATTGTCTCTACACAAAACACATAATTCCTCAAATAAGCATTTATATCGATAAAATTTATAAAAATTCACATACTCAAGTATCAAATATAAAATACATGCTTAATTAGAAAAAATCAGAAAGTTGATGAACTTTCAAAAACCTCGTTCCTAACATCATATCAAGCAATGAGATACAGGATACGACTGGCTGGAAATAGGTGGCAGAAAAACTTCATAGATGGCAGAATGATCATTTGAATAAGAAAATTGTTCGTATAAAAATGGAGCTGAAGAGATGAGCTGTAATCAGCTGAACCAGAGTTCACATTTTTTGTCGATAATCTGCACATTCATAAGCTGGTTTTCTCCAACCTCGATTACAGTGACATTGCTTATGAGTTATGAGGACAACTTATGAACACTTTAACCGATTCACAAGCCAATAAATGAAGCAAATAATTAAGAATCATAGGACAACATAAGGGGGATGGACAAACACTGGAGAAGGAAAGCAATTTTGCACACGGCATCACTGATTGAAAACTACCATGTCCTACCGTTCTACACTAAACACAACCGCAAGGTATTTGTTCTCTACAAGCACATCCACCATACAGTATTCACGGATCTCTCTGCACAGAATTTCTTCAGCTATAGGCATCAACAAAACTGCAAGATATCAACCACCTCATTAACCAATGAATTAAATATTTGGCTTTCAACCTCTTCTCCAAATGCAAATGCATCTACTTCAAAGTCGAGCCATCTTCCATACTGACTGCTCATGTCCTTGTCTACAAGCTCATCCACCATACAATCGCCCATGCTGCTCCATTCGGAGATCTCCTTGTACACATCTTCAGCTAACTGTTCCTTTCTTCTCACCATTGTTGTCCCTTTCACCCATGCTTTGTATCCACCACGAACATATCGTCTGCATCTCAAGCCCAAGCATTCACTTGTACAGTCAAATAATACTTTCCGCTCTAGCCTAGCATCAGCACCATCACTTTCAAGCATGACTTTTCGCCTTTCCAACTGATGGAAGAGATGAGGGTTTATAATCTCAGAAGCCCGACCTAATGCAAAGTCCTGAAACATCAATTCAAGATTACAGAGTATCTTCTTCACATATTGTATTTCCCATTTGGTTGACCTCACAAAACCTGTCACAGCTAACATATTTGCATGTTTTCTAGCCACAGTTCCAGTTGATGTTGAAGAGGCTGAATCTGACAACTCCATATCAGCATCCACAAAAATAAACTTCTTTGAAGAGCTCAAACCAATAACTTCCTGAGCTTGAATAGATGAACAAGGCTTGCTCCCTGAAATTACATTGCAATCAACTAGTAAAGCGCACTACCCTTATGAAGTTCTGAGAGACTTGAAACTTAGGAGTGCATGAATTTTGAGGATGAGAAATGCACTGCCCTTACCTTCTGTGCTGCAACTATCCATGCTGTCCAAAGAGCTGCTACTTTCAGTTGAAAAAGAATGTTCAAGAACAGAGACCGGACTAGGACGTCTACAGTCAAGCAGCTGTCCAGAGTCATTTGATTTGCTGCTACAGTCCATTTCATCAACTCCCTGTTATGTAACAGTTGCATCAACTATCCTCACATAAAATAATGCTAAAGTTTGCAACATTAACCTTTCACATTATGTTACCGAACCAGGTTAACAACAAGAGAGAGACAGAGAGAACAAGAAGTAACCACCAGTTGGAGAGTGCCTACAAGATTAAAAGGTCTAGAATAGAATTGTTTTCAAGTGACAGAACTGCACAAAATGTAAAGTGCTGACTTCACAGCTTGAGTGGGTCTTGTCTCAACATTTTATAACAAGGTTACATGACTGCTAATAATACACTATGGCACAGCTTGAGTGGGTCTTGTCTCAACATTTTATAACAAGGTTACATGACTGCTAATAATACACTATGGGGGTATAGATAACTCAAATGCAGCTTTAGTCTTTTGAGTTAAAAAACATGCAACAAATGCAAATTGATAAATCATTAACATGAATTTGGAACTGAGTTGCACTCCAGACTGAAAATGGAAAATATAACTTCAGAAGCCAGCAAAACGTAAATACAAAACGGATGAGAAAGAAAAACAAAAACATGTGTAATTTGAAGCACATAAGAAGTACTCTGGTAATGACACCAGGCTGGCTCTAATAAAGATAGCTAGAAAGAAAAACAAAAACACGTCGTACACAATACACGCCAGACAAGGAGGATTGAGGCAAACCAGTTGGCACTCGGCCCACAAAACTTCAAGAAAGCAATATCCTGTTCTCATTTTGAGATTCATAGCATTGGCAACTAAAATATGCACCCAAAACTATTTTGTATCCTACACTGAGAACCAAACAACATATCTTCCATAATATTTATAAAGAATTGGTAATACTGGACTTCTTTTTAGTTGGAAATTCAGAAATATTCACCTGGAGAATGCGTTTCAATCTGAGAGGGGAAGGATCTGTGGAGAATGAGTGAGAATCGTAGCAGCTATCCAATTTATCTCTGCATGAGATACTTTGATCCTTGTTATCATGTAACTTTGGTGCAGTACTGCCTGAACTAAAAGTAGATAGAGAACTAGAAGACTCGACACTTTTACTCAATTCTCTCAACTTTTGTTCCAAAAGAGTACTCAAAGCATCCCCCGCCATCACATTATATCCCCCTGAAGATAGCTTCATACTATCTGTGTCAAGCAACAGTCTCTTGCTACGATTATCCATACAAGAACCACTATTTTTCTGTACAACCTGAGTAGGTGTTTCAGAACCAGGCATAGACCGTGTCATGGGGGCTGTGAATGTGAACGAAACAACATCCATGCCTTTCCTTTTGCTTTCTTCTGCCCAACTAAAGTGCCTGTCAATAACTGGATTAGTTTGTACAGCCTTCCGATTTCTGTCAGTCAGCATGTTATCAGCAACCTGGTTTTTCTCAAGATGCAAATTCCCATCAATTGATCGCTTCTTCCTTGGATTAGTCCTTGTACTATAGTTAGAATTCCCCTTCTCAGTTTCTCTCAAATCTAAGGCCAACTTTCTGGGTCCATTTTTGGAGCCAAAAGTCTTACCAGAAGTTTTGTGCCTTGCCGGAGGATTCCCAGACAGAACTCTTTTACCCTGCAGGTTGGAAACCAAGGGTTTTAAAGGCAATTTGTCTTTATCCATTATGCAATTTTGTTTCTGATTATTCTGCCTAAGTGCACCAGAAGCATTATGTACCGGAGATCTTTTTTGCAAACCCTTTTGGACATTTGGTTGGCTCTTGAAGGGCTGGCCAGATGAAACCTCAGTCTGTTGTTTCTGGCCGACAAAGCCTTGACTGCTACTTGAATTCAAACCTTCTCTTCTCTGAACATTGACCTTTGCTTGTATTGCGAGTGAGATTGACTTCCCCATCGTCTTTGAGCTAGAAGAACATTCATCAGTCTCAGAAAAAGTCCTGTAAGATGCATCATCTGATCCATTCCAGCTTTTGTTCAAAGATTGCCCCTTTAGATGCTTGGCAGCATTTGACTCAACTGGTCTTCGAGAAGTTTCTCCAAGTCTCGAGGTTTTATGAGAAGCTTCCACTTTCTCTTTTGGTTCTCGAGTTCTTATGGCTGCTGAAGAGGACCCAACCAGAGGCATTTTCTGAGCAACCTCCAGTTTTTCTTTAAGATCCCGAACTTTCAGTGGCAATGAAGAAGACCCAACAGCAGGCATTTTGGCTTTGACTACTGCTTGGGAACTTGGTTCAATAATTTTTGCAGCTGCTTCCATTATGTGAGCAGCAGTTTTGCTCGGAATGAAGCCAGGACTCTTGATTGGAGATAAAAGTTTATGGTGGGTAACTGGAATCGATTTAGCCGATTTAGGAGGCAAGATTTCAGTTTGAAACTTTTCAATAGGCCTGTTCAGGACCTTCGGAGGCTTGGACTCCACAAAGTTTCTAGGAGGGCCATCATCCTTGTTAAGTAGATTCCCTGAGTATGTGATTTGAGGGTCATGATAGTAATCGAAATTCCTCCTCCCACAAGAAGCATCTCTAAGAGATTGGGTGTCAGAAAAAGGGGTAGAATTGGGCTCCAAGAAATTAGACGTTGGCATGGAGTCTAATCCCATAAGCCTGGCTACTA